AGCCGCGGCGCTCGCGGTCAGCGCCGGCGCAGGGCAGCGCGCCCCCGCCGCCGCCGCCACCCGCCCACACCGTGACGCACGAGGGGTTCCTGCTGCGCAAGCACGAGCTCGACGGCGCCGGCAAGAAGGCGTCCAACAGGTCTGGGGGGATCGTGGTGATGGGGGTTCTCCAAGGGGTGGGGTTCATCAAGAGTTGGGGGTTCTCCATGGGTTGGGGTTCATCAATGGTCCACAAGAATTTGGGGGTTCGGCAAGGTTTGGGGTCCATCAAGACTTGGAGGTTCTCCAAGGGTTGAGGTTCATCAATAGAAGGGGTTCATCAAGACTTGGGGGTTCTCCACAGGTTCAGGTTCATCAAGGGTTTGGGCTTCTCCAAGGGTTAGGGTTCATCAATGGTCCACCAGAATTTGGGGATTTGGCAAGAGTTGGGGGTTCTCCAAGTGTTGGCGTTCCTCAAGAGTTGGGGGTTCTCCAAGGGTTGGGGTTCCTCAAGAGTTGGGGGTTCTCCAAGGGTTGGGGTTCATCAATGGAAGAGGTTCATAAAGAGTTGGGATTCATCAATGGTCCACCAGAATTTGGGGGTTCGGCAAGGGTTGGGGTTCATCAAGAATTGGGTGTTCTCCAAGGGTTGAGGTTCATCAGTGGAAGGGATTCATCAAAAGTTGAGGGTTCTCCGCAGGTTCAGGTTCACCAATAGTCAACCAGAATTTGGGGGTTCTCCAAATGTTGGGGTTCTTCAATGGAAGGGGTTAATCAATGGTCCCCCAGAATTTGGGGGTTCATTGAGAGTTGGAGGTTCTCCAAGGGTTGGGGTTCATCAAGAGTTGCGAGTTCTCCAAGGGTTGGGGTTCATCAGTGGAAGGGGTTCATAAAGATTTGGGGCTTCTCCAAGGGTTGAGGTTCCCCAAGGGTTGGATCTCCTCCGAGGGTTGGGGGGACATCAGTGGAAGGAGTTCTGCAAGGGTTGGGTTGGGTTCATCCATGAAGGGGGTTCCCCAAGGGTTGAGGGTTCACCAGTGGTTGGGGTTCACCAAAGACTGGGGTCCATCCGTGGAGAAGATCCACAGAATTTGAGGGTTCACCAAGACTTGGAATCCCCCAAAATTTGGATTCATCACCGGTCAGAGGGTCCATCAATGAAGGGGCCCACCAAGGCTTGGGGGTCCATCAGTGATGGTGTTCACCAGGGGCTGGGGGTTCTCCAAGGGTTTGGTGTCCATCTCTGGAGACAACCCACCAGAATTTGGAGTTCCACCACAACTTGGGGCTCCCCAATGAAAGAGATTGACCAAAAATCTGAGAATTCACCAAAGATGAGAACATTCATCAACCAATCCACCAAAATCTGGGGGTCCACCAAAACTCGGTTTTCCCCAAAACCTGGTGGTCACCCCACGTCCCACCGCGAGCAGGTCCTGGGTGAACCTCTACTGCGTCCTGGCCAAGGGCGACCTGGGCTTCTACAAGGACGCCAAAGGCCCCGCGTCCGGCGCCACCCACGGCGGGGAGCCCCTGCTCAGCCTGCACCGCGCCGCCAGCGAGGTGGCCAGCGACTACAAGAAGAAGAAGAACGTCTTCAAGCTCAAGTGAGTTTTGGGCTTGGTCGGTTTTGGGGTCTCTGATGACGCTTTTAGGGTTCCTGTCACTTTTTGGGGTCTCTGATGTAGTTTTTTGGGGTGTCTGATGTCATTTTTGGGGTCTCGTGTTGATTTGGGTGGCTCTGATGCCATTTTTTGGGTGTCTGATGTCATGTTTGGGGTCTCATGTTGATTTTTGGTGGCCCTGATGGCACTTTTGGGGTCTCTGATGGCATTTTTTGGGTCTCTGATGGCATTTTTGGGGTCTCTGATGGCATTTTTTGGGTCTCATGTTGATTTTGGTGGCCCTGATGGCACTTTTGGGGTCTCCGGTTGATTTGGGTGAGTCTGATGCCACTTTTGGGGTCTCTGATGTCACTTTTGGGGTCTCATGTTGATTTGGGTGGCTCTGATGGCACTTTTGGGGTCTCATTTTGATTTGGGTGGGTCTGATGCCACCTCTGGGGTCTCTGATGGCATTTTTGGGGTCTCTGATGGCATTTTTGGGGTCTCTGATGGCATTTTTTGGGTCTCATGTTGATTTTGGTGGCCCTGATGGCACTTTTGGGGTCTCCGGTTGATTTGGGTGAGTCTGATGCCACTTTTGGGGTCTCTGATGTCACTTTTGGGGTCTCATGTTGATTTGGGTGAGTCTGATGCCACTTTTGGGGTCTCTGACACCATTTTTGGGGTCTCCTGTTGACTTTTGGTGGCTCTGACGCCCCAAAGTCCATGGGGACGTGGTGACAATGTCCTGGTCTTGTAGGACCGGCGATGGGAGCGAGTTCCTGCTGCAGGCCAAGGATGAGGTGCGGCTTTGGGGTCTTTGTAAATTTTGGGGGGGTCTGATGGGGGTTTTGGGGGGGTCTCACGGTGGTTTTGTGGGTTCTTTGTAGGGCTTAGGGTGTCTGATGGAGGTTTTGGAGTGTCTGATGGTGATTTTGGGGTGTCTCATGCGGGTTTTGGGTCTCATTTGGGTTTTGGGGTGTCTCATGGTGGTTTTGGGGTTTTGGGTTGGTGATTTTGGGGTGTCTCATGGTGGTTTTGGGTTGTCTCATGGTGGTTTTGGGGGTCTCATGGTGGTTTTAGGGTATCAGATGGTGGGGTTGGAGGATCTTGTGGTGTTTTTGGGGGCTCTTATGGTGCTTTGGGTGGTTCTGATCTCATGTTGATTTTGATGGGTCCCTAACCCCATTTTTGTGGTTCCTAACCCCATTCTCTGTGTCCCTAACCCCATTTGGGTGTCCCAACCCCGTTTTTGGTGTCTTTCACCCCATTTTTTGTGTCCCTAACCCCATTTTCGGTGTCCCTAACCGCATTTTCCAGGTCGCTGACCCCATTTTTAGGGTGTCTGACCCCATTTTTGGGGTCCCTAACCCCATTTTCGTGGTTCCTAACCCCATTTTCATTGTCCTTGACCCCATTTTTGGTGTCCCTAGACCCATTTCTGTGTCCCTGACCCCATTTTCTGTGTCCCTAACCCCATTTTCGATGTCGCTGACCCTGTTTTTGGGGTCCCTAACCCCATTTTCTGTGCCCCTAACCCCACTTTGGGGTCCCTAACCCCATTTTTGTGGTTCCTAACCCCATTTTCTGTGTCCCTGACCCCATTTTTGGTGTTACTAACCCCATTTTCATTGTCACTGACCCTGTTTTTGGGGTCCCTAACCCCATTTTCTGTGCCCCTAACCCCATTTTTGGGGCTCCTAACCCCATTTTCTGTGCCCCTAACCCCATTTTTGGTGTCCCTAACCCCATTTCTGTGTCCCTAACCCCATTTTCGATGTCGCTGACCCTGTTTTTGGTGTCCCTAACCCCATTTTCGATGTCCCTGACCCCATTTTCAGGGTGTCTAACCCCATTTTTGGTATTGCTAACCCCATTTTCGATGTCGCTGACCCCGTTCTCGGGGTCCCTAACCCCATTTTTGGTGTTACTAACCCATTTTCATTGTCACTGACCCTGTTATTGGGGTCCCTAACCCCATTTTTGGTGTCCCTAACCCCATTTTCAGGGTGTCTGACCCCATTTTTGGTATTGCTAACCCCATTTTCGATGTCGCTGACCCCGTTTTCGGGGTCCCTAACCCCATTTTTGGTGTTATTAACCCATTTTCATTGTCACTGACCCTGTTTTTGGGGTCCCTAACCCCATTTTTGGTGTCCCTAACCCCATTTTTAGGGTGTCTAACCCCATTTCTGTGTCCTAACCCCATTTTCGATGTCACTGACCCTGTTTTCAGGGTCCCTAACCCCATTTTTGGTGTCCCTAACCCCATTTTTGGTGTCCCTAACCCCATTTTCGATGTCGCTGACCCTGTTTTTGGGGTCCCTAACCCCATTTTTGGTATTGCTAACCCCATTTTTGATGTCGCTGACCCTGTTTTTGGGGTCCCTAACCCCATTTTCGATGTCCCTGACCCCATTTTCAGCGTGTCTAACCCCATTTTTGGTATTGCTAACCCCATTTTCGATGTCGCTGACCCCGTTTTCGGGGTCCCTAACCCCATTTTTGGGGTGTCTGACCCCGTCTCTGCCCTCCAGGAGGACATGCAGGGCTGGCTGCGGGCGCTGGCCGCCAGCGCTCAGGAACACGCCGAGCTGGCCCGGTGGCAACAAGGCCTCCTCACCACCTCCTCCACCGACGAGGGGCTCCCCCGGCGCGACCCCGACCGGCCCCGGCGGAAGTGACCCCCCCGAACCCCCACTTTGGGGTCCCGGCCCCCCAAAAAACCCAAATTTTGGGGTCCCGGCCCCCCCAAAAAACCTGAGTTTTGGGGTCCCACCCTCTCCACGAGTCCTGGGTTTGGGGTCCCGAGCCCCGATTTTGGGGTTCAGGCTGCCCTAAACTCTAATTTGGGGGTCTCAGCCCTCCCCCCCCAACCTCGGTTTTGGGCCTGGCCCACCCCAAAACCTCAATTTTGGGGTCCTGGTCCCCCCAAACTCCGAGTTTGGAGTCCTGGCCTGCACAAAACCTCAATTTTGGGGTCCTGGTTCCACCAAAACCCAAATTTTGGGGTCCTGGCTCCCCCTTTCCCCCAGCACAAGCCATAGAAAGCCGGGGGGGCCCCAGCGCCGCCGTTGTACAAATGTAATAAAGCACCTGCTGCACCCCAAAACTGGCCTGGGGGATTCTGAGGAGTCCGGGGGGGAAGGATGGGACATCCCGGGTGGGTTTTGGGGTGTCCTGGGGAAATCTGGGGAGTCCTGGAGGGGGTTGAAGAAGACAAGGAGCAAATAGGGGAATCCTGGGGGGAAGATGGGATGCCCAGGGTGGATTTTGGGGAGCCCAGGGGGAGTTTGGGGCACCCTGCAAGTGGGGTTGGGTTGTACTGGGGGATTTCGAGGAGTTCAGGGAGGATTTGAGGAGAACCTGGGGGGCCTTGGGGGCTTCCTGGTGGGGATTTGGGGGAATAATTCAGGGTTTGGGGGAGTCCTGTGGGAGGTCTGCAGTGTCCGGGGAAATTTCAGGGAGTCCTGGGGAGAATTCGGGCTTCCCTCCATTGACTTCAGGAGGAATGGAAGAGGAGAAGAGAGAGAGGAGAAGGAGGAGGAGGGGTTAGGGAGGAGGAGGAGAGAGGGAAGAGGAGGGATGGAAGAGCAGGAGGTGAGGATAAAAGAGAGGAGAAGGAGGCGGG